AGAGAGAGAGAGAGAGAGAGAGAGAGAGAGAGAGAAACATCACCAAGCATCATTGCCTGGTGATGTCTGGCTCCCTACCTCCTCCCATCTGAAGGAGAGCAGTAGACAATCTAATTCAGGAACCTTCACCTTTGCCCTCCACTGGTGATGCCACTCCGTACCTGACCAAACATTTTTGAGGCAGAGCCGCGAGGGCGTGATATTTTCGGATTATGCCAGGTATGATACTTTGCTCTCAAGTGAACCATTTAATGTATGAAAATAAAGGCTTTAAAAAATCCCACCCAAGAGTCCCGAAATGTTCAAATCAAAACTTTCTCAAGCTCTCGATATTATTATGAGTAACAATTCTTTTGTTTTCAAGTCTGCAATGCTGAAATTTTATATGTGCTAATAATAATAAAAAAGGTTTCCACCAGCCTTCAAACAAAAGTCAGTCCTTGGCCAGTCTTATTACAAACCTGTTTGTCTGGATCTGTGAATCTGACCATTTTGTTCCCTTTCTCCATCAGTTTAACTGCCATTTAACTGCAGCTTTCCAGGATTGGCTTCTAATGTAAACTGATCGGCAGCTTTAACTGGATCACACACACGCAGATGGCATTTCACAAACACAGAAATATGCAGTGTTACGCTGCATGAGGGAGAGCTGCTCACCTTTTTTATTTTTTTTCTCCTCAGAGAACCACTGACATGTTTTTCTTTCTCCAGCCTTGCAACTAATAACGTGAATCCTCCACGTGGCAGACACATGCTTCTGATTATGAAACATGGAAAGTCAGAAATGTCTCTCCTCCAAACACACTCTGACTTTACTGCCCTGGTTTTTGTACTTTGCCTTCACAAAGCATGAGACGAGAATGAAATGAAAAGGAGAGAAAGAGAATGAAGCTAGTTATAAAAATAACATGGCAGATCAGTATTGTATAACAGCCATATCATTTCTGTTATGTGCTTTAAAAGTGGCTTGGACTTACTCAACTTCATGTGTTTATTCATATTCCTATATTACACGCAACTTTTTAAACATTTTAATACTTTTTAAAAATCATTAATAACACAGTTGTTGATAGGAAGTTCATCGATGCCTTCTGGGGATTATTATCTCCCTGCAACTCCCACATCAGGGTCTCTAAACACAGGGCAGAGCTCCAGTTTAAAACTGTCACACAGACCCGGTTCACATGTTTTCAGTTACTCTAGTTGATTAAGACGCCTTTCAGGTGGACTTTGGGTGCCGCTCAGGTGAGGGTTGTGCATTTTGCCCTAACAGGTGCTGTCAGACACAAAGGTTGTTACCAAGGTAAGTTAAGCAAGACTGTCAGGCAGCATTATAACATGCTGACAGTCCAGATGCATCAGAGTTTTTGAAATGCTTTGTAGGTGCGCCACCAAAATAATCCCAGTACAGGGACTGCATATGAACATAGTGTTTTGGGGTTTTTTTGGCTGCACTTCCAGTTGTTAGGAAGACACACTGGCTTCAGGAATCAGTTTGTGTTTCAACCAAATCAAACAGTAACATGTAATGTGACACAGGCAGCAGCGATCCTGAAGAAATATTCAGAGTAAGCATTTAGGTCCAAATGCACTTCGAGTATCCAAAATAAGCGCTCATTCTTGATAAATGCCCCAATTCAATTCATATCCCCCCAGGATAGTTGCATAACAATAGCTTCCTTTATTTTTGTTTTCGAACAGTATCTCCATGTTTGCTTACCTGCTAATCAGCTGCACAGCTGACGCACCTGTGTTGCTGTGAATTTACTGGAAATGTTCAAGAAAGTGCGGCTTTTATTTAGCCATGCTGATAAAGGGTGACAGTGTGGGAGCGTTATCACTCAGCTCAAACACAGCTCTGGGTCTGTTTGCCTGAGGCCTCTTTGTTTCAATATTACAGTCTCGTGTTTATTGTGGTTCCTTTAAAACACTTTAATCTGTTGTATATGTTTCAGTTTCTAAAAACTGGCCCACATTTTTTTCTTCTTTTTTTTCTTCCAATAGTCATCTGAAATTCGTTCCTTCAATTCATTCAGCCAATTTATCTGGTCTGCTGGCATCAACAAGGAGGAAAATGAATTCAGTGTGTTATTTAATTAAAAAAAATCCTTTCATTGAGAATGTTCTATTGATTCCATACAAATCACTTTTCTTTTTAAACTACACACGCATGCCAAACATTTGGCCAGCTGGTGATTTGTTTTTGCTAATTGGTGGACAAATCCAAGGACATTGGCTCTGATTGAAACTGGAGGTGAGGGGGGATGGAGGAAGATTTTAATTGATCAGTTTAGCATCAGCAAATCATTGGAGCAGAGAGGTTTGGGCAAAATCATGTTAGTTTAACTGGAAAAGTGAACATCCGCAGTCAGCTGACAGAGCAAGCATGAATATAACTGTCCTGACTGAACTTTTGCTGCGTCTAATATAAAGGATTCCTTTGTTTCAGGAGTCTGAATGAAATGAATTTAATCCAGTCTCGGCTCTCAGTCACATCTTAAAATGTGAAGGGACTCTTGAGTAGAAAAGGTGACGCTAATAGTTCATCTTCCATTACCTAACTTTACCTTGACTGATACAGTGAACATCCACTTTATAATGGCCTTATTGTTCCCTCAAACAGCTGGAATACAGATGTGTGAAGTCTGTATTTGAGCAAGGAATCACCTTAACAGTAAGTGCTAGAGGAAAATTTAACAGTACTACTAATTATATGTACATTCTAAAAGCTATAACGCACATATAAGAAATATCTGTAAGTAGCTTCAATCAGCTCCACCTAAAGCAGCTGCATAATCAAAATCCTTTAATCCAGGATATTCTGACAGGACTCAGTTTGGTTTCATAGTTGCCATAGCAAAACTGGGTTTACAGGTATACTACAATATTATGCTCCAGTAAATGTATCCAATTCATATGTGAAATTTTTGGACATTGTTTTTATGTCCAAAAAAGATAAATACAAGACAAGCAACAGATATTTACCTGCTCTGCAGCCATTTTTCACAAATCAATTCTATTTTTATTTTAACCATTTTTGCTATCATTTTTCAAAATAAAATATAAGGCTTGGAATTTCTTCTTCTTCTTCTTCATTTATTTATTATGTCTAAAGATCACTTCTTCATGTCAGTATGTGTGAAGTTGTTATGTGGAAAACTGTGTGATGTCTGTAACAGTGACACACAGAACAGTCCTTATATTGGTAAAAGGACAGCTGAGTAATAGAACATCCATACGTCTGTCATGCACATCTCAATAGTGAATATGTAAAAATAAAATAAATTAAAGATGTAAAAGTCAAGATTAATTAATTTCAAAAATATGGATTAAAAATTACGATGTAACATAAGGAAATATTGTTCACAGAATTTGCATCAATTTAATATGATGCACCATGTTAATCAAACAAAAAAGTAACATGCAGTATGTAGTGATAGCAACAGGAGATTACTCTCCAGTGCCGACTTGCTATCCATGGTAACATCAGGTGTAAACAAAGGCAAAACACCAAGCAACTGGGTGACATTACAGTGGCAACTTCCATCTCTTCTATACAGTATATGGTTATTTTTTTCTAAATATTTGTAGTAATAACTGAATCATCGAGTCGAAAGCTTAAACCAACAAGTTAAACAATCCGTTTAGGTTTCCATTTACTTAAACCACTGATGGATACTTGACTCCAGGCACTTTATGAGTCACAAATCATAGCAGCTACAAACACATCTCAACTTTTAGTAGTCCTCTAAAACAGGATTATTTTTGTGTGTTTTTGTAGCATGTGCTCCTTACTCTCATTATTACTGTGTTTGCAGATTGTAATTTCTCACTTTGTAGCATTATTCCTAAATGCGGCACAGGTTTTGTTCTAAAGCAGTGCCAAGAAGCTCGCAGCACCCAGATCCATGCTGATAGTGTGTATGCCGTGTTCCCGTCTGATTCAATTTACAAAGAACATGTGACTGTCACTCGCAGGACACAAAGAAAAGTACATGGACATAATGGCTTGAGAGTACAGATGCTGTTATTTTGGTCTAAAGCTGCTCAAAATGTATCTGAACCTTTGACACAAATCACAGTGCACACCATAAAATCTGATTCCCAATTAAAAACTTTATGAATGCTCAAATATCAATAACAGTACAAAATGACAGCTGAACATCTACTTTTTCTCTTGTTTAGACAGGCTCCCCCAATTCTTGAGATATTTTTTAACACTAATCAAATGAGTAATTTAACCATCTGACTCTAAAAATATGATAAATACATGTCTTAAGGGAGTTGATTCATTAAACTGCTTAGATATTTCGATTTAAAATAGCTATTATGGTTGCTAACATCTGGTGGTACCCATTAAAATTTTCTGTCCAGCTTTACTTATTTAAGAAAATAAGTATATATTCCCTGCTCCCCCTAAATGTTGAGATATTCCTTTAAGCAGTTTTTATTATGTGCTTCTCTGATCCTCCACATTTTTGCTTCTGATTGCTTCATACCTCTTGTGACTTGGACTGGATGGACGGGAGCGAGCTCAGGTAAACAGCAGGGTGTTCCACAGTAAACATCGATTGTGGACCCCAGAGGGCCTCGGTTGCCAGGGCTAATCTTGGCCTTTAAGCTCTGGGTCACTAAGTGTTCATTCGAGAGTGAATCACTCTTCTGTGGAAAATCAAAGTGGTTGCTGCTGTGCCGGCAGTCTGTCCTGCTGGTTTTGCAGAGTTGGTGGAGATATCACATTATGAGACCACACACACGCCACGCAGCAACAGGTCAGAGATGGAACTTGTATAAACTAATACTCCAAATATCCTTTGTGCCAAACAAAGCCAACGGCACACTTTGAGGCGAGATTAATGGAAACCTGTGAGCGTGCGTGGAGATGCGATGATGCCAGCAGGACTCGGCTTCCACGTTGTAAATATAAGTAGTCATCAATCCTCAGCTCCACTTAGATCCAAGGGCTGTCTGGATTTCTTTCTGGAAACAAACACATAAAGGCTTCTTTAATAAATGCTCCGTCTGTGGGTCTTTTAAAGTTTCGTGAAGGAGTTCCTCTAGAGCGAAAACACTGAAACTGCCGGTTTTTCCAAAACAACCCGAGAAATGAGAGAGCATTTTATCATTTGCTCTCTCATCATTAATATATTGATAAAGCTTTATATTTTTAGCATAACTTAAATGGCAGTTGTTGCTTACACAAAAGTTCACGACTTGCCTCAGCTCCGTGGAGCATTTTAGCTTCTCTTTTAATCCTGTTGTTTTGCTTTTATGATTTACTCATCAGATTGAGTCTTTTTTTTTCCCGTCAGCATCATTTCCTGTTGCAACAGGCGACTGCTTTCAGCCAAAATATCTCGAAATAACTCAAACTCTCAAAAACCAAATCTCTGCCAGACGGTTAAAGTCCTGCTGGCAAACACGGGGGAACATTTAACCACAAAGAGACTGATGGGTTTTTTTATGTTAAGAATCAGTGCACACAAAAATATAGTCAAAAAGAAATGCTGTGAGTATCGGGCTTACGTGTTATCCACAGAGGAAAGAAAGTACTTAAGGTGCATCTGAATGTGTTTCATGTGCGTGGGAAAAATATGCTTTGTGGTGTATCAACATTGACAAAATATGTCAGAGTGAAATAAAGCAGGTTTAAGGCGTGCTGGTTCAAATACTTGTTAAGATTAAAGAAAGATATTAGGATATTAGTCTAATATGTACCATTTATAACCAAAGCGGACAGCAAAAACAAAGCAGTAGATCTCTCTGTGAACTTATAATGGTATCTTGTGTTGTCTCTGAGTGGGGGATGCGTAATTCTTAAATACTATTTGTGAAGGAAAAGGCTTTGAGAAAGCCAAGAAAATAAATATTATTTACTGACATGTGCTAAATTCGAAACATGGATAAAATAAATCTTGGTTATGGTCAAAGTGATGTTTAACAGAAACACACAAAACACCAGATGAAGCCTAAAAATATCCAAAGTGCATGGGTGCATTAAAAACAAGATGATTTTCAAAGAAGTTGAAGTTTGAAAAACAGCTTTGAGAAAATGAAAACACACCATGATTTAATTCTGAGGTTACACATCAAGATGTGATCAAAAATCATCTGGTTTTTAGTATGTCTTCAGATTTGGTAAATATAACCTCAGATGAACAACAACACATGGCATATTAAACTGTGTCGTTATTTATTTAACAAAAAGCAAGAGAAAATGCAAATAACACACCCCTGATTCAGTAGCTTGCAGAACTATCTTTAGCTGCAATAACTGTATGATCTTTGTCATTTGTTGTACCACTGTGGAGAGATTTTGGTGCAGGAATTAGTCATGTTGAGGTCTTGACTTTGACTGGGCGACAGCAATGCTTGGACTCCTTGCTGCTGTGCTCGGGATCATCATTCTGTTGCATGAACCTCATATTTCACTCTAGAATACTTCGGTGCACAGAGGAGCTTCTTGCTGAGTCGTGGACTGCAAGGTGCTCAGGTGCAAAACAAGTCCAAATAATCACCCCTCCACAACCGTGCTTGACAGCTGCTGTGAGGTGTTTGTGCTGATATGCTGTGTTTGGTTTTCTTTGAACATGGTGCTGTGCATATGGACTTTAGTCCACTTTAGTCCACTCTACGCCCGTTTCGAGGTTAGCCAGGCGGCTAACCGCCTGACTACCGAGGACAGTGACGTCATCAGCGAGAGACCGGTGACCAGCATCGCGGAGCATGACGT